GGGAATGGCTGAGCCATTACAAACATTGAATCTATCTCCCCTTGTAAGTATTCTCACACTTCTTATCAACCTGTCTGTAAGGTAAGACAACTCCCACCTGTTCATGCTCTCTGTATGTGTGTATATATATCTCCTCAATATATGTTCCAGTCTATGCATCCGAAGAAGTGGGATGTAGCCCACGAAAGCTTATGCTCTAATAAATTTGTTAGTCTCTAAGGTGCCACAAGTACTCCTGTTCTTTTTGCTAGTTCCAATTAGAATCCCTCAGACTGGATTCTTTCTTTTTTGCAAGCATTAGCACCTGTGTATTAGGCTATTAGGCATAAAAAAAAATCTATTATGTGCCCCTGTGAGATTGAGAGAACAAAATTACAGGTGCACATTTAGAGGTTATATTACAATTGGTTGTATAAAATTAAATGAAATTGTGAGTCTTTATACTCACTAAAAACCTTCATCATTTTTTTTGTCCAATGGATACTAGTGCAGCTAATAGGTGTTAGGGTCACCACATTATTTTTGTACATTTAAAAGATTCAGCTACTGTATTTATTTTATGGAGATTGTATTTCACTATTATAATACATAGTCTTGTAATTATTATCTCTGTTGTATAGTACTCATACTAAAATTTATTTTGGGTGTTTCTGTGGTCTTTTTTAAAATAAGAAGGTGTGTTATAAATTACTTGCACATATTTATGCATGGAAATGCTTATGAGCTTATTTAAGTAGGAAAGAGTGAGGGAAATTACTTTATGGAAAATGAAATCTGGCATAGTTAGTACAAGTATTTAGTTTCTATATTACAGCTCAAGTCTGGGGTTCTTGGAAGACTGTGATATCTCAGGTATTGTACTGTATTTCCAGAGTAACCCAGCGTGGAATGATTAGGTTGGTCTCAAAGCATCATTGTTCAAGTTCATTTGTTCTTTACACTTCTAGTCAGCTGAACTGTTCCCTTTTTGGATGAATTTTGTAACAGCATTATAAAATTCACTATTCCTATGTCTTTTTTGAAATTTTATACACTGAAAGTGAAGATTGCAGTGTAGGTTAGGTAGAGTTAGTTGGAAAATGGAATTCCCATCCCATCCAAAACTTTTTTCATTCTGAATCACAACAAAAAGTCAAAATTTCAACATTTCTCATGGAATGTCAATTCCAAAAAGTTCACATTTCAAAACATCATAATATTTCAATGAAATAATGTTGAATCATTTCATTTCAAAAACGTCAAAATGGTTTGTTTCAGTTATAGCAAAACATTACAATAAAGTATAAATTCTATGTTAAAATTATATCATAAAAGTTAAAATGTTGATATGATTTGTTGACACTTATTCTATAAAAAGTTCATTGAAACTACACTTTTCCACATAATGTTTTGATTCAGATGAAACTCCAGTTTCTGATGGAAAAGTGTTTCCGTCAAAATTCCTTCTAGTGGTAGGGATTCCTTTCCCCTCTCACACAATTGTGATTCTCCACAGACTTTTTAGTTTAAAGATTTCAATTTTGCATGTGGACTTTGCAGTATAATGTACGTTCCATGAAGAGGACTATCTGTAACATGGACTCCGAAAATGGCCTTGTGGTGTTTTGATTGGAAGGCTGTTGACTGTATTGTGTGCTAAATACTGTTGCATTTATCCAAAAATTTAAACTAAAATAAAGTATAAATAGGAAATCTGTCCAGACACCTGGATAAAGTATTAACTCAGACAAATGAGGTCACCAAAACTAGTCATTTCACTACAAAGTAAACATTTTCCAAAGTCTCCAAATATATGACTTCTTTGTTTTGTAAATATGTTTACAAGTATATCCAAGTTGTACTAAATAGAAATGATTGTAGTATTTGATACTCGGATTGTCCTTTCTTGCATCTGGATTTATGCTTCATAATGATTATCTACTAGACACAGAGAGTATATCTGTAACTCAAAAATTTTACTGGAGGCATTTAACAGAACCTTGCTTTAAAATATAATGATTTTTCATCTTTATTCTCCCCCCTTCAAAAGGTTTCACTGCTCCTGATGTTTAACGTTATGCAAAGACGTGTTTCTGCCAATGAATATCGCCTTATGGTTATGCTTCTGCAAATAACCTGCTGTGAGCTGATAAAAGGATTAATGCAGCCAAAATTCTTAATCTGTGAAATTACAAATTAAATTCTCATATTAAAAATACCACCCTGAGGTATTTTTTGTGGTTTTAATTCCCCTCTGGTGTTCTGCATACATTGTGCTTGTTAATGACTAGGACAAGACTGTCTCTGTTGGCAGCCTGCTGCAGAGTGATAATGTGTAGGCATTTACTTCACTGATAGAACTGGATTTAACCACTGACTGATAAACTAAGTGGCAAGTGGGTAATAAGTCCATATTAACAGAAAAGTACTACTAGAGAATTCAGAATTCATAGACTATCAAAATCCTGGCTAGACTAAATTGTACAGTCAGACAGGATTGAGATGTCACCAATGCAGATTGATTTTTGTTTTCCATTTAGTGGGAAAGGGATAATTAAACTGGCATGTTTGATGTTTGATTAGCCATGAACTAATGAATCTCTTTGCATCATACTTTCAGCAAAGACAGACTTCCTTACAGCCTCATTAGCTTAAGAATGGGTGCATTGGAAAGAGGTCTGGGTAGGAGGGTGAGAGTCCTGGATCTAGTGTTAACAGAAGAACTGAAAATCTATCAGCACTGCAGGTGAATTGGAGAATATAACCTATAATTAGTGACAAGGATTTTTATGTCCAATTCTCCAAAATGGGGGTTAGTCCCAAAAGCAGGTACCCCTATGGAGCAGGGTACCTTGAGTGCCAGTTTACAGAGCTGCCTCAATATGAGATCCAGTGCAGTTATCTGTTAGAGACAGAACAACTAAAAACTTGGAAGAGGGAAAGTTGACTTACTAAAAGTGAAGTAAACAAAAAAAAAATCTACTGTTGACTAATATTTGCATCCTGAGCCCAGTTTTTCAAACATTGATGTCCAAATCTCATATTTTATTGCTCAAATCACCTTGCGTAGGCACATAAATGCCATTGTTACATGACCACATGATGATTTAAGTCTCTGGATATTAGATTTGGATCTCCTATTAAGGTACTTGTGTTTGAAAACTGAAAACAATTTCTATGGTTAGAGTGCAAGAATTGATTTAAATAAAAATCACAAATAAGATTCCCATGTGAAACCTATTTATGGTAACAAAACAGTCTCTGGATCAAAAATACCCTTATGTATTGTAAGCATGGGTTTGCCAGAATTCATAGTGGTAACATTTATTATTCTGGAAAAAGATGAGGAAATCTGTGGTATAAGTACTTCACAAATATTTAAAAAGCAATTGACAGCATTTGTGCTGGATGGAACATTTTTGCCAAGACAACTGGAATGTGTTTTGTTTAATAGGAGAAACAAAAGAGCTGTGTGTGAATACTGAAAGCATTCTCAGTTAATAAAATGAAGTTTTCTTCTCATACATTTCAATTCAGCAAATTAACCAATTGTCTACTTTGTGTTCCTCAGTCTTCTGAATGCCAAGTCTTTTTAAAGCATTATTGTTATAACAGATACAGTGTCTGAGAATCAAACATTGCTGGATTTTTATCCTGTGTGCTGCAGCTAGTTAAAAAATACTGTATGTTATGATGTGAAAAGCACTAAATATGTAAATTGTATTTTTTTTCCTTCTGCTTTATGACAATTCAGATAATTCTCTTGGCTGCACACATAATCAAATACAAAGATAGCTAGCTGCAGACTGCAGAGTAGAGATAGCAAAGGAGAATCCATTTTTTCCTGTGTCAAGCAAACTATGCAATTTGAACTACAGAATTTCGCTCAAATATATATATCTATATACTGATTTCCTTGCTTTTATTCAGCTCAGAGGTTTTGTCATACTCACTATCAGTTAGCTCCCATAGCCGTGGGGGCAGATCACTGAAATATTCGTGGCTCAGGGCTGCCTGTGCTGACAATCTGTTCTTTGGGAAACACTGAAGTAGTTTGGAGGCCAGATCCTCTGCATGATTCACATAGCTTAGCCTGAAACACAAGCAAGGAGAATTAAAACAAACATATCTACGTACAAGCTAGTTACTCTCTTTACTAATATCAGCTGGATTCAGTATAGTTAAAAATGCAGAATCTCGCATCACTGAAGATTCAGGGACTGAAAATTACACTGGTTCCAGGATTTTCTATACTCAGTGCTAGACCAGTGCCAAAAACATACTCCTTAGACTAAGGGTGAAATTTCTGTAGTCGGTATCTTATGAATCACAGAACATGTATATCAAAACATATATATCATAATAGCTTTAGTTACCACAGGAGGAAAAGCACGTAACTACGATTACCATTTTGCTTTTCCCATCCCTATTTCACTTGAACATGCTGCTAACTTGAGAACTAATGCACCTAGAAACAAATGGCTTATACCATCTAAAAACATGAAATCCTAGCTGTTATCTTCTAGTCTGCCTGGTCCAGAAGTTCTTTGGGAGACTGGTAAACTTTTCCAAACTCTGGCTTTGGTAAAAAAGTGTTCCAAAAGAAAAAATGTTGGATCCTGCACACACTGAATATATCTTCATCATCATTTCATTTTATAAATCCCAGCACACTTTGTTAACTAAAGATCTGTTTTCAGCCAACGAAGTCAGAACACCTATAATTTAAAATGCCTCCACTTTGCAATTCATGGGTTGACAAATAAGGATATTAGATAAGCAGGCCAAACTTTCGAAGAGTTTGAAATAGATACCATTATCTGCCCATAAAACCCTGAAGCCTACAGAGTTTCATCCAAATTTAGTTTAATAGAATTTTGACATGAGGTCAGTTAGTCTTTCCCCTGGTTTGTCTCAAGCTGATTTTCTGGAATATCACTCAAGAAGCAAGATGACGTATAAAAGAGAGTCCCTCTTTTTATTCTCAGGCTCTTGTAACAGTGGTTTGAGGTTCAACAGTTTATAACAGTCACACTTAGAGGTAACCAGAGAGCCGAACATCATATGCAGGTTAAAATGAATATCGGATACACCACAGAGAACATCTCTGTTACAGACTTCATAAAGACTCAACTTCTGCCCACTCTTACAACACTCGGAGTTACAGTACAGTGTTCACTATGCTTATGAGAGCCACAAACATCACTTAAAGCTACTCTAACCAAAATGACACATTCCTTACAAGAGGAACACAATGATTCCTCTCTGGGGTGACTTTACACTTTCCCTTTAAGACTTCAGCAGACTCTAATAAATACAAGTAATTAATACATTTAAATTATGGGCTGACATATGCCAGATATGCTGCTATTGATAATGATCCAATGTGATATTCATTGCGTTTTGGATCTATGACGTCTGTGTGCATTATAGGGATTTTCCTCTAATGAGCCTACCTGCTCCATTCTTGCGAACAGATAGGATATTTGTCCAGAGAATTCCTGGGTATCAACAATTGACTGAAAAGAGTTGACAAACTCAAGCCATTAATCCTAGCCAGTTATTATTTGAAGAAATTTGCAGGACTTGGTTTTTTATTGCTATTCTAGGGTAAATATATTTAAAATACAAAAGGTACTTTTCAGTGTCATTTTGCTACATCTTTTCCTTTTTCAGTTTGTGGTGCAATATGGGCATTGTCAGTCATTCACCATAGCCCAAGCTTTGCCAAAGGATTAATTCCAGGTTTCTTAAACAATTGTTTTATTTGGCTTTTCATGACATTTACAAGAAAGTGCTTTACAAACCAGGACACTGGTAAATGTCAGTACACATACCACTAGTTACAAGGGGGCAGATAAAGTCTGGGAAAAATCACATTCATGTGGGCACACCTAAACTTCTCATGAACCAGTGATTACTTGGAGCTAGCAAGGACTGGACTGCATATGGCACTGGAAGTCAGGAACTGTGTGGCCTCGGGCAATGTTATTGTAGCCATGTTGGTCCCAGGATATTAGAGAGACAAGGTGGGTGAGTTAATATCTTTTATTGGACCAACTTCTGCTAGTGAGAGAGACAATCTTTCCAGCTTACACAGAGCTCTGCAGAAGGAAGCTTGCCTCTCTCACCAGCAGAAATTGGTCCAATAAAAGATATTACCTCACCCACCTGGACTCAGGCAAGTCATTTAGGGCAAAGTTTTCAAATGCCTCCATATTTAGGAACCAAAATAAGAGAGTCCTGATTTTCAGTGAGAGCTGTGGGTGTCTAGCACCTTTGAACGTCAGGCCACGTATTTCATTACCTGTATCATAGAATCATTGAAATATAGGGCTGAAAGTGACCTTGAGAAGTTATCAAGTCCAGCCCCTTGTGCTGTGACAGAACTAAGTATACAGGTAGTGTGTCCAACTTATTCTTAAAAACCGGATGGTGGGGATTCCACAACGTCCATTTGAAGCCTATTCCAGGTCTTAACTACCCTGGTAGTGAGAAAGTTTTTCCTAATGTTTAACCTAAATCTCCCTTGCTCCAGATTAAGCCAATTGCTTCTTGTCCTGCCTTCAGTGGACATGGAGAACAACTGATCACCATCGTCTTTATAACAGCCCTTAACATATTTGAGACTATCAGGTCCCCTCTCATTCTTTCTTTCTCAGAACTAAAGGTGCCAGATTTTATTAATCTTTCCTCATAGGTCATTAATGAAAATATTGACTAGTACTGGACCCAGGACTGACCCATGTGGGATCCCACTAGATATGTCCTCCCAGTTTGACAGAGAACCATTGATAAAAAATGGTTAGTTATCTGTATTGTAACGGTTGTTCTTCAAGATGTGATGCAGATGTGTTTTTCATGTAGGTGTGCGCGCACCCAGTGTACTGAAACCAGATAGCTTAGCCTAGCAGTACCCATAGGGGTGGCAGGTCCGGGGCTGGGTTGGGACTGCAGGATAGGCACCTCTCCCCTGGCCGCAGGAGGTCCAGGGCTGGGCTGGCGGGGAGAGATGTCTCTCCCCACCACAGCCCTGAGTGCCTGTGCAGCGCTTAATAGGCAGCTGCACAACTATGCACCTTAGAGGGAACTTAGCTCAGAATCTATTTGAACAAAGACTGAAGGATTGCCTTCCCAAAGTTTGCATCTGATCTGGATGCAGTAGTAATGGCATAGTGGTCTGTAAATGTATGTACAGAGGATCAAGTGACAGCCCTGCAAATATCCAATATAGGAATGTCAATTAGAAATGCCATCAACATTGCCAGGGCCCTTGTGGAATGAGCTCGTACCCTTTGAGGAGGAACAGTCTGAGCTACTTCATATGCTGTCATGTTCCCTGAAGTTATTCACTGGGAGATCATTTGCGAAGAGATCTCTTGCCCCTTAACCCAGTCCGCATATGAAACAGACGAGATGAAGAATGGAAAGATTTAGTCTTATCCGGTAAAAAGACAGCTTGGTATACAACGTGTGAAGACGCTGCTCATCTGGGGTTGAATGTGGCTTAGTGATGAACACTGGTAGATATATAACTTGGTGATGAATATTACGGGTACTGCTAGACAAAGTTCTCCAACTTCAGCGTGCTGGCCAAGCAAACACGTACATGGAATACATGGATGTGTCTTTCAACCAGTTGTACACCCACCTTATAGTAGTTCCATCTTGTAGTAGTTTGTAGCTGTTTGTTTATGAGACTGTCAAGTGGGACTGTGTCAAAAGCCTTACTAAAATCAAGATATATCACATTTACTGCTTCCCCCCATCCACTAGGCCAGCTACCCTGTCATAGAAGGAAATTTGGTTGGTTTGGCATGATTTGTTCTTGACAAATCCATGCTAGCTATTCCTTAAACATTACTCAAATGTAAAAAAAAGTCTTTAACTTCTCTGACCTTCATTTTCTAGATTTGTAAAATGAGGATGATAAGAACGAGGCAAAATGTGAAAAAAAGCATTTTTTGTGAATTCTGAATCAAAATTTTGATTTAAATACGTTAGCATCCTATTTTTGTTTGCTTTCTTGAATACATTTGAACATGCAAAATTATGACTGCATGAATGTTGGTGGAAAATGGGTATCTGGCCCATAGCCAAGATTTGTTTAACTAAGAAACAAATTAAGTTTCCCAACAAAATGAAATATATTTTGCGTGGAAGTAGTTTATAAAGCCAAGACCATCCTGTCAGGGAACAAAAACAATACTAGCTGACTTAGATGACCAATCAAGAAAAATTCCAAATATCAAATAATCAACACAATACTCAGTACAAATACTATGCAAACCATCAATAGTTCTAATACAGTCTTATCAACTAGCCAAACAATTCTGAACAGGCAAATAAATTAGTAAAAATTGGGACCTGTTGACAGAAAATTGGTGAACAGAAAAAAAGGACTAAACTCACTGAATAAAAAGTTTGCAATGAATAGTTTGACCTACTCTGACTATAATGGTTACTTACCCCTTATAGTATTTAGAGGGGTGTTGTGAGGATCAGCTGTTTTTATGTTGCTTTGAAGTTTTCAGAAACTAAGTTATTAGTACTACTATACTCTCTGGCATTCATAGATTTTAAGGCCTGAAGAGACCATTACGATCATCTAGTCTGCCTGCCTACATAAAACATACTACTGAAGATCACCCATTAATTCCCGCATCAAGCCCATTACCTCTAATTGAGCTAGAACATACCTTTAAATCTATGTAAAAGTTCTATTTTTGTTTATGTAGGTTGGAAGTGCAGAAATTCTTCTCCAGGAAATTTGTCTTTTGCAAAGATCATTTATGAAGAATAGCTGGACATTGCAAAAGGAAATATGCATGTGAAGTCCTGAGACTTGTTTAAAGCAAGTCATTCTCCAAGTTATTAAAAATATACTGCATGTTCATATACTACGAACACATCTACTACATGAGAACTTGTTGGTTCAACTAATTTAATACATAACATTGGTAACTTTTTACAAATATCCTCTTTTAAAGTTCCTCTAGAAATTAGTTAAATTTATCTGATATACATTTCAGATTGTATTCCTTAATATGGGGGGAGGGGGTGAATTGGATTTTCTGATTGAGTCCTGTATAT